TACTTGGGTGTAACTCCCCAGGGAAACATCAGATCACAAAATGGAGTGGTTTTTCTGGGCATTGTTGACAAGAGGAACTGATGTAATTATTATTTAATACCATATGATACGGGCTATGTATAGTATACATGTGAGTGTGTGTTATGAAAATGCAAATGGAAATAAAAATATTCATTAAAAAAAAAAAAGAAACTGCCCCGACTGCTAGGGAAGATACACCCGGTATTCCATAGTAGCCTCTTAAAACCTGTGGTCAGATCCACTTTGAGACCACTACCCCGGGAGCCCCCGGGCCCTGTGGTCATAGGGGGCCAAACCCATTATGAGGTGCAATGAGTCCTTGATTCGAAGTGGCACAGGAGACAACTCCAGGGCTACCCCTTGTCAGAGGCAAGAAATATCCAGGCTGATCGCCTTATAGCAAAATTCCATGCAGAAAATCCAAACAAACCGGGGGTGGGGTGGGGGTGGGGGGATGTAGCTGTAAATCCTATACCTGTACTCAAATTGTTTTTGCTTCGCACAGGTTGCTTTTGGAAAGTGAGGGGAGCGGGATGTCAACTCCTAAAGCACATTCCATGCATACTTTTGGCTAGAGTCGGATCTCTGATTACTGCAGCAGACATGGGAGGGGTGCACCTCATTGAGGAATGTGGTTTATGACGCAGACTGAGGGGAGGGAAGGAATGGAACAGGGATAAAGTTCAGCTATAATTCAAATAAGGCTAAGATCTGACTGCGAAAAGGTCTTGCCAAAATAAATGCTCCTAATAAATGACTAATTTTCTTTTCAAGTTTGGCCCGAGACTCATCAATCAATTAGGGCATTTTTTGGAAACCTGACATTCTGGAGCACTGTCCTATCTGCCACTGTGCAATTGGCAAACCAGACACAGGTGCAGTAAGTTAAAATACTCTGTGGTGCAGTTTTTAAAGGTCGTCAGCAGCTTTTCATTCAGTTGTTTCCTGAGAAGTCCCAGGTAATATAATCTCTGCTGGGCCTCTTTTGTGCTAACACCCAGAAACTTAAAACTGGCCATTTGCTCCACTCGATCTCCATTGATAAGCAAGGGCTGGATGTCTGATCTGTTCCTTCTATAGTCCACTATAAGCTCCTTGGTCTTATTGGTGTTAAGAACCAAATTATTGTCTCCACACCACGAAAGCAAAATATTAATGATTCAAGCCTGCTTACTTTTATCATATATAATTCCATTCTTCAGCATATTGCTATAACTCCTAAATGAATCTGCAACTTATCACTAGCATTGCCAAATGTATAACATGGAAGCTGGATGGGGCACAATGGGCTCCAGTTCAATCCAAGTAGGACAGAGTAGCTTTGGATACTTAGTCTGCCTGGGAACAAGGTTCCTCTATCTTTGGTACTGTATAGGGAAGCACTGCCCATCTGAGGGTCCGTTTGGACTTGCAGCTCCTGCTTAAAGAGCAGGTGGCATCTGTGGCTAGGAGGGCCTTTGCACACCTTTGGATTGTACGCCAGTTGTGCCCATTCCTGGACCAGGGGGCTTTGCTTACAGTCACTCACGCCCTCGTTACATCTCATTTGGTTACTGCAATGTGCTCTACATGGGGCTGCTGTTGAAGACCATTTTGAAACTTCACCTGGTGCAAAATGTGACTGCACAGGTAGCTGATTGTGCCAGTTATATGACACAAGTAACACCACCAGTACAGGAGCTGCACTAGTTGCTGGTGTGTTTCCAGGTGCAAATCAAGGTATTGGCTGTCACCTTTAAAGCCCTACATGGCTTGAGATCCAGTTACCTAAAGGACAATCTTCTCCCAATAGTTCTATCTGTCCAATTTTGTCTAGTAGATTGGGGATGCTATTGGTTCCATCAGACAAGGAATGTCAGCTGGCATGGACCCAGGAGGTGCACCGTTTCTGCAGTAGCCCCCCTGCCCTTTGGAACATTCTTCCTATGGAGCTCAGGATGGTCCCCACCCTGTTAGCTTTTCATAAGGCTTTAAAGACCTGGCTATGTGCCTGAGCTTGGGGTCCTAAAAGTGTTAGGGTCCCCGTTACCTGGTTGAACTGTTAATTTTTATGGAATTATCCTGATAATTTCTCTTTGCCGTTTTTATGGTTCTAATCATTGTGATAGTGTTTGCCACCCCAACTCAATTGGATTGAGATGAACATGAACAGCTATAGAAATTGAATAAAGGGATAAAATGAACATACTTCATTCCCTCACTTTAGTTTTAACCCAAACCTTTTCACCACATGTACGTCTTTCATAATTCCATCAAACATTCTTCTTACTACTATCTAATTAACATAATTTTATAAATTGGAACCATTTCTATTTTTCCTATATTATTTCCTTAACACTGCCATATAATGTTCTGTCCCACATTCAGAACTTGTACCACCATTTTATTGTTCTCTAGTTTTCTCAATCAAATGGGGTAAGGTTATAAATACTTTAAGCCTTTTGACTTCGGGATAGAAGGGTTGAATCGTTGTTGGGGATCAAATAGAGATAACAGAAAATAATAGTTCATGAAACTTTATTTATTTAGTTAACCAATTTATTGGCCACACATCTTACCACAGGATAACTGGAGTGGCTTACAATATTAAAAAATAAAACTATATAAATAAAATGCTGCAAAAGTATAAACATACAAAATACAATAGCTAAATGATACGGAGGGAGGGAGCAGGATCAGCAGTTGGGAGGTAGGATCTGATATTAATCAACTATCCCCAATATGAAACCCCTCCTTTGGAGTCCCAAGCCAGCTAGCAAAGCCTGGTCTTTAGGCTCTTGCAGAAGGTCAGGAGGATTGGAGCGGACCTTACTCCTGGGAGGCAAGATGTTCCAAAGGGCAGGCGCAACGGCAGAGACGGCCCTTCTGGACCTTGCCAGCTGGAATATCCTGGCCAATGGGGCCTGCAGCATGCCTCATCTGGCACAGGTCGGGTGGGCCATTCCCAGTCAGATGAGACTAACCGTTAAGTCAGTGGTCCCCAACCCCCAGGCCACGGACCCATATCGGTCCGTGGATCAAATGGTTCCAGGCCGCCCAAGGAACATTAAATTATTTCCATTTTATTTACTGTGGTGTATTTCTCTCNAGTCATTTTTAGTCATTTTATTAAGATTTATAGGCCGCCCTTTTCCCTGAGGGGACTCAGGGCGGCTTACAATCAAAGGGAAGGGGGTGCAATATGAGTGGAAAACAGCGTTCAACTGCCCCCTAGGGAGCTTCCAATTCAAAGTGATGCCCTTTGGACTGCAGGGAGCCCCAACAGTGTTCATGCACTTAATAAATGAGGTGCGGCATGAGTACCTCTACAAGGGGGTCCTTGTCTACCTGGATGACATCCTAATCTACACAGAGACCATGAATGACCACATACCCCTGGTCCGACAGGTACTGGAAAAACTTCTGGCAGCCAACCTCTACGTCAAGCTATCAAAATGTAAATTCCACCGTGCAGGGCTAGACTACCTGGGTTACCGAATGTCAAATGAGGGAATAGAGATGGACCCAGCCAAAGTACAAGCCGTCCTAGGCTGGCAGCCCCCTCGCAGCCAGAAAACTACAAAGCTTTCTAGGGTTCACAAACTTCTACGGGTAATTCATCCCCTCCTTCGTGAAGATTGCCAAACCCATGATGGTCCTCCTAAAGACAGGGAGCCCAGGAATGAAACCTCGCCCGGGAGAACCTCTACAGTGGGACCTAACCTGCCAAAAGGCATTCGAAAAACTAAAATGTTTGCAAAGGAACTGGTGCTGAAGCATCCTGACCCCAAGCAACCCTTCGTGATCCAAACAGACACCAGCAACATGGCAGTGGGAGCAGTGCTACTCCAAAGAAACAGCCAAAGTAAATTAAAGCCCTGTGCCTGCACCTCCCGCAAGTTCACAGACACAGAGAGACGATGGGCCACATGGGAAAAGGAGGCTTTTGTGGTGAGATGGGCACTGCTAACCTGGAGACACCTGTTGGAAGGGGGCCAGAAACCGTTCGAAGTCTGGACCCACCACAAAAATCTGGAGGCGCTTAGGGCCCCACAGAAACTATCACCCAAACAAGTTGGATGGGCTCAGTATTTCAACCATTTTGACTTCGTACTGAAGCACATTCCAGGGGGGAGGAACTTTCTAGCTGACGACGTCTCCCGCATGTCCCAGTACAAATGCGAATGGGAGCAGGTGGTGGACGACAGCATCATTCCCCCTACTCCAATAGCTGCCCAAGTGACCATCAGATGACCGACAAGACCAGCCAGCAAGTGACCTAACCACAAGATTAAAAACCGAACTGCTAGGAGACCCTTGGTTCTGAAACAACCAACACATCTTGACAAAAAGAGAAGACCTTGCATGGAAGGGGATGAAACTCTACGTCCCAGAATCCCTACGCACCCTAATTTTCCAGAGGAGTCACGATGCCAAACCGGCAGGCCACTTTCGGTTCCTAAAGACTTTACACTTAGCTTGGAGGCAGTTCTGGTGGCCCGGCATAAAGAAAGACGTGCACAGTTACGTGAAAAGTTGTACCATCTGCGCCACAATGAAGAGTTGACCGGGAAACCCCCCCTGGACGGCTGCAAACAGTAGCAGAGCCAACAAGGCCGTGGGAGGAGATCGCAATGGACGTCATAGTAGAGTTGCCGAAAAGTGGGGGAAACACAGTGATTTGGACTGTAATAGATCTGTTTTCCAAACAGGCACACTTCATACCCTGCAGCAAATTACCCTCAGTTCACCAGCTGGCCAAACTTTTCCTGAAGCACATCTACCGCCTGCATGGAGTATCTTGAAGAATTATCTCAGACAGAGGGGTCCAGTTCATGGCTAAGTTTGGGAGGGAGTTCCTGTGGTCCATTGGGTCATCCCAGGGCTTTAGCTCTGCTTTTCACCCAAGCACCAATTTGGGGGGGGGGGGGGGCAGAGAGACTTAATGCCATGGTAGAGCAGTACCTGAGGTGCTACGTGAGCTATCAGCAGTCCAGTTGGGCAGACCTTCCTTCTTTTGCTGAGGTCACTCACGATAATGCTGTTCACAGTAGCATGGGACTAACATCGTTCAAAGTAGTGACCAGCATGGACTTTGTCCCAATGCCTGAGTATTCAAGAGATCCCCCCTCCTCAGTCAGCTTGACTGATTGGATGTCAATGCTAAAAGCAACCTGGGAGAATGTCAAAAAAGTGCTGGCTAAAGTGGCACAAACCTGTCAGCTTCTGCCTTGCTATTGCTTCAGCTGCCATGAAACGGGGAGGGAGGGCTNTGTGAAGATGACATTGTCCCACATGTTTTGCCCTTCATTAAAGAACACATAAAAAATCCTGACTGGCGATATCGAGATGCTGCTGTCATGGCATTTGGGTGCATTTTAGAAGGTCCAGAACCCAGCCAGCTAAAACCCCTTGTCATTCAGGTGAGAATGGCTTATGCTAATAATGTACCTATGTTTCTTTTGAAATGAAGGCTGTAAATAACTGGTTTGTTAATTATGTGTCTCTTTTTGACTAAAATATGCCATAATCTGAAAATAGCAAGGACCTGAGGAAAATAGCAGAAATTTACTTGGCATTATGTTGAATTACAGCTAAGATCAAAATGACTTTAATCTTAAATGTACTATGCATTTTTTTGCCATTATTTCGATCAAAATAACTACACCACAATCACAATACTGTTTGTGCAACCATTGTTTTGTACAAAAGGTCTGAAAGCATTGCAGCTTAACATAGAGCCCTTGCACTATAAAAGCACACAAACTTCTGAGAAAGGCTGCACTTACACTGTCCTCCCAGAAAAGGACACCATGACAAGAAAAGACAACTACTCTAATCAACTTCTGCTTTAATTGCTTGTGATTGGAGAAATGATTGAGTTCCTCTGCCTTCCTCAATAGTTTGGAGGAGTAAGAGTTATGAGGAGACAGTGTCTCCCATATCTGACAAAGCATCATATTTAAAGAACATCTGGAAAAGAAACATTTGGAAATCAGATCAGATTCTGATACCAGTTTATAAAAATAAATACAGAACAACTTAGTTACAGTAATTCTTACATATTCTGTGCTAGAAGGCTAAAATCTGTATGAGCTGTTGTTCCATCCTTAGTAGTTGAAAAACAAAAATGATGCAAAGACTTGTATCTGTAAGTAGACTGTCATGGCCCTGTCGAAGCCTGAGTCTGAGGAGGAGAACGAGGCGGTCCCTGGGTCTGGGAAGGGTCACCAGCAAGGGAGAGGGGGCGCAGGAGGACCATGCAAGGGGATAGGACAGGGCAGGCAGAGGAGCAACAGAGGACCGGCAACAAGCAATTATCTCATCCCCGATGAAGAATGGAGAGGAGGTGGGATCAGCACAGGGCAACCCGGTGACTTGGGAGGAGGGCGCCCCGCCCCTCTTCACAAGGCTCACTTGGGGAATGAGTTTTAAAGATACGCTGTTGGGAGGGGTGTTTGTCGGGAACAAGCGTTGAATCCGTGGAGACTCACGTGCAGTTGCTGACGTCTGGATTTTGCTGTGCTTTGTCTTGTGTGCCTTTCCTGGTTTGCCTGCCTTGGTTGACTTGCCTTGGTTGCTGCCTTGCTAACTTTGCTTGCTGGACTACTCGCAGCCAGAGGCTGTCGGAGGTCTGTGTGAGAGCTTTGCTCCAGGACTTGCAGTAAAGGTGGGGACATTTGGGGGAAAGTTGGAGCAACAAAGCGGAATTAGAACTGTTCTCTGGCTATGTTGCTTCTGTGCCTTGCCTTAGGCCATCACATAGACAAAAAATAGCAATAGCACTGAGAGTTATATACTGCTTCACAGTGCTTTACAGCCCTCTCTAAGTGGTTTACAGAGTCAGCATATTTCCCCCAACAATCTGGGTCCTTATTTTACTGACCTCGGAAGGATGGAAGGTTGAGTCAACCTTCAGCCAGGATTGAACTCCTGGCAGAGTTAGCCTGCAATACTGCATTCTAACCACTGCGCCACCACGGCTCTCAGTTTACAGTTACAGAGGTAGTGTGGTTACTGATCAGTACGTTGGTAAAACGAGAAGGGTGTAAAATTGTTGCCTTGACTGGGGTGTGATGTACTTGAGAATACTCTGGTTTGTGTGACAAGGCATCTGGCAGTAAATTGTTTGAGTCAGGTACGTATTAAATGTAGAAATCAAAGCATGAGATGAATAGACTCCATCACATTTGTCTGGGAGAAAGCAACTTAGTCTGTTGCAACACGTGTAGGTTTTTATGGTCTGTGGAATGCAGATTTCACTGCCAGGAGTTCCTTCTTGAAAATACCGTTGTTTTGTTCTGGGGTGGTTAAAGCTCTTGAGAAAAAGGCACAGGGCAACAGACTGTTTCCCTTCTTGCAGTCTTAGAGAAGAACAACTCCAGTGGTGACATCTGAGGCATCCACCTAAACCACAAACCTCTTGGATGGATCAAGATGCTGAAGGAGGTGTTGTTGGGCAAAAAGTTGCTTTAACTCTTCAAATGCTGTCTGGTGTGTAGACGTCCAAGCAAACTTAACCCCTTTCTTTGTGAGTTGGGTAAGAGTTTTAACCTTGCGAACAAAGCCGGAGATACATTTTCTGTAGAAGTTAGTGAAGCCCCAGAAGCGTCTTTGGCTGTAGTTGGGGCTTGTCATTCTAGTACAGCTCTGACTTTCTGGGGGTCCATCTGTATACTTTTTGTGGAGATACAGTAGCCCAAAGAATGTTTCAGATCAAGCACACATTTTTCTGGTTTGGCAAAGAGATGGTTGTCTCTGAGTCTAGCGAGGACTATCTGGACATGTTCTGTGTGCTGTGATTCAGGTGACCACAGTGTATTCAAACATTCTGTACCTGGTGTCGAAGGTGGTTAAGTATTCATGGCCCTCTTTGATTCTAATCAGATTGTAAGCATTGTGAAGATCCAATCTAGAGAAAATGCATGCCTTTTGTAGTCTATCCCAAAGGTCTGAAATTAGTGGTAGTGGTTTCTGACTCAAACTCACACTTGGGGATTACGGTTGTGCTTTTGGGGGACAAAAAAGGGTTGGTATTGAAGCTGGTGTTTTCAAAGATCAAAGAAAGCCTTTTTGCAAGCTAGTTTTAGAATTTAGAATTTATTTGTTATTTATAGGCCGCCCTTTTCCCTGAGGGGACTCAGGGCGGCTTACAGTTCATGGGAA